CCCATAATTTTTAGAAGAATATATTGTTCTGCTAATTTTACAGATGAGGTAATGAAGGATCACAGAGATGCAGTCACGTAGCCACAATCACAGTCAGAACCAGTAAGACTCAGATGTGGGACTCAAACCCAGTTCTCCTGGCTTTGGGTCCAATTCTCTTTCCATTACATCATCCAACAAACATATCAGTGAAATTCCTCACCCAAAGCCTCAGTTTGAGAAGTGGGGGGAAAGTAATAAATAAAACAAATCTACTTATGTATACACAAAGATTTGTACCTCAGTTTTCCTTATCTAACTATGTTTGATCATGTACTTACTGTTTGTAGAGTTGTTTCAGGGTATATGATATCACTTCTGAGAGATCAGAATTTTATTTACTAACACACGGTAACAATGCTCAATGCATTTACCTCCCTTCTAAATCTGTAACATCATATGGACCTACAAGGGACCAGAAACAACAAGACCAAAATGAAGAATGAATATTATTCATTGTGGGGGGTAGAGAGAAGGAGAGACAGAGAGAGAGAGAGAGAGAGAGAGAGAGAGAGAGAGAGAGAGAGAGAGAGAGAGAGAGAGAGAGAGAGAGAGAGAGAGAGAGAGAGAGAGAGAGAGAGATGCTTTAAAGTCCTGTACAAAACTGTAATCAATATAAAGTTTGGCATGTCAGAAGAATAGATAGGCTTCCCTGAAATGAGCTACAAATCAATAATCATATTTAAGAATTTTTAGACTAAAACCAAGAACCTACTGATGCAACTAGATGATTATGTTAGGCTCCAGTTATTACTTTTGCATAGCAGTACCACATTTATGTTGAGTTTCATAACAGTTGGGAGATAATCCCTTGAGCACCTTAGCACCAAATATAGCCACCATCATTAAAATGCCTTTTGAAATCCATTGGGATTGAGAAAATTACAAATATACTAATGAGTTGTGTGAAAAGTTCTCTAAATTCTCAGCAGGATTCATTAATTTTTCTTTATCTATGTTTGTCTAGGATTTTTAAAAAGTAAAAAAAAAACAAAATAAAACAAGATTAGATATCACCACAGCCAAACTACTATTACCTGCCATGGAAGCTCTCAAAAATTGTTCTGAGATCAACATGTGGCAATTGTGGCTGGGACAGTGTTCAAGAACTATTAAATTTGGTCCTCATCACATCACCAGATTCATTTTGGTCAGGCCATAACACATACTGATTACACATACACAAAACTGAAGCTGAAATACCAACTATGAAAGTCAGCTTACTAGAAATCACAGATCCCGGAACAAAGGCACTATTCATAGTGAAGACAATTATCCATGTGTAAAGGCAGCACTGACAATCTTTTTAAGCTCCTTATGAACTTTTGCTGAAATATAAGAGTATGTATAATATGTGACACAAAAATTTTCCACAGGACAGTTGATATATGCTGTGAGTCAGTTGAGGGCCTGGAAAGCCCATAATGCTTTCTATATCTTGTTTGGTCATAAATTTTTCACTTATCCACATATCTGAGAGGGAAACTATTCCATGCCTCACTAAACTTGCTCATAATGTCACCATTTATGTCTTACAGGGGTCTCTTTGCTGGCTCTTAGGGCAGGACTCTGTTGCTTTGCCCATACTTGGACCTGGGGCACAGTCCTGGGTTGCAGTCTCAGGACAAAGAAGAGCAGTAACACAGAAAGGCTTGTGGCCACACTGTAGCAGGGACCCTTGTCACAGTTCTAGGGCAGAAAAGAGTGTTTGTGGTCACTCACAGACCAGAGTGCAGGTCAGGAAAGTAGTAAACACCTCTACTTAGATCATACCACTTGGAAAAAATGAAAACTTACAGGTCCCTAGAAGAACCTCTAAAAGAGAAGCACAAAATCCCTGAAGCTTGGAGCAGTGCGTCCTCTACCCTGGAAGGAGAGCCCCACTTTAGCAAAGAGTTAAAACCCAAAAATGAGCACACAACAGAAAAAAATCTGACCATAGAAAGCTACTGTGGTGACAAGAAAGATCAAAACACACACTCAGAAGAAGACAACAAAATCAAAACTCCTACATGCAAAGACTCACAGAAAAATATGAATTGGTCTCAGGGCATGGAAGCACTCAAAAAAGATTTTTAAAATCCTAAAAGGAGGTAGAGGAAAAATTGGGAGGAGACATGAGAGTGATGCAAGAAAATCATGACAAAAGAGGCAATAGCTTGGTAAAGTAGGCACAAAAAAAATACTGAAGAAAGTAACACCTTAAAAAACCAGATTGGCCAAGTGGTAAAAGAAGTACAAAAACCCACATGAGGAGAAAAATGCCTTGAAAAGTACAATTGGCCAAATGGGAAAAGATATTAAAAATTCACTGAAGAAAATAAAATCCTTAAAAAGGACCAAATGGAAAAGGAGGTAAAAAAATTCACTGAAGAAAATAATTCTTTAAAAATTAGAATTAGGCAAGTAGAAGCTAATGACTTTATGAGACATCAACAAACAAGAAAAACAAAACCAAAAGAAGGGAAACTAGAAGATAATGTGAAATATCTCATTGGAAAACTACTAACCTGGAAAATAGATTCAGGAGGAATCACTTAAGAATTATTGGACTACCTGAAAGCCATGCTAAAAAAAAAAACACCTGGACAGCATATTTAAAGAAATTATCAAGGAAAACTGCCCTGATATTCTAGAACCAGAGGGAAAAAAATCAAAATTAGAAGAATCTGCTAATCACTTCCAGAAACCAATTTCAAAATTAAAACTCCCACAAATATTATCACCAAATTCCATTGCTCCCAGGTCAAGGGGAAATATTGCAAGCAGACAGAAAGAAACAATTGGAGTATCATGGAGCCACTGTCAGGAAAACACAAGATTCATCAGCTTTTACATGAAAGCATCAGAGGGCTTGAAATATGACATTCTGGAGAGTAAAAGACCTAAGATTACAACCATGAATCACTTAGCAAAACAGTATAATCCTTAAGGGCAACAAACGGATATTCAATGACACAGAAGACTTTCAAGCATTCCTCATGAAAATACCAGAAGTAAACAGGAAATTTAACTTTCAAATATAAGACTCAAGAGAAGCATAAAAGGTAAACAGGAAAGGGAAATCATTAGAGAATTAATAAGGTTAAACAGTTCACATTCCTGCCAGTTATTTTCCCTGGTTTTCCTGAAGATAGTTCACATTCCACTTTCTGCAAGAAGTGTTTCCTCTCTAACAGTAGCTCCCTCTAAGATTACAATTGATCTACTCTGTCTACAATTTGTATGCACCTAGCTGTCTCTCTAAATGCAAAGTGAGCTCCTAGAAGGAAGGGATTTTTTTTTTGCTTTTTTGTTTTTGTATTCCAAGTTATAGCATAGAGCTGCCATATAGTAAGCCCTTAAAATTCTTGTTCACTGGTGACCAACTTGGTTATCCTCCTTTGGATGAGCTCCAAATTTTCAGTATTTTCTTAAATGAGGAGGTTAGGACTGAAAATATTATTCCATACCTGCTCTTACTAAGGGAGAATCCAGTGGAACTATCACCTTCCTAATGTTTATATAATCTTTTATTTTTTCCATCTATACATAAAAATTTCAACATTTGTATTAATTTTTTCCCAAATTAATTGGCAAAGGTGGGCAAGCAAACCATTTCAGGCCTGTGAGAAAGTCAGTGTAAAGACACAGAAGATGGAGCGTCATGGGTGCGGAAAGGCAAATAGTCCAGTACAGCTAGATTTTATACTGCATGGATGGTAATAAGATGTAAGACTGAATAGGTAAGAAGGAGCAAGATTGTGGAGATTTTTATTTTTTTTAATGTATCTTTATTGGTACTTTTTGTTTTAACATAACCTAAATTTCTTCTAGTATCTCTCCCACCTCACCCTTCACAAAGAGTCATCACAAAGAAAAATGAATACATTTTATAGGCATATTGTGCCACAAAGGTGGTCAGCAATAAAAAGTTCTCTGCACAGACCAAAGTATTGATTTTTTTTCAAAATGTTTTATTAATTTATTTTGCATTGTGAACAATCACTTCCATAAGCTTTTGAGTTTTAAATTTTTCTCTCCCTCTTTCTCTACCTCCTTCCCCAAGACGGCGCACAATCTATTATAGGCTATATGTATACATTCCTATCAAACATATTTTCACATTAGTGATGTTGTAAGAATTAGAACTAATAGGAGGAACCACCAGAAAGAGGAAACAAAACACAACAGAAGAAAAAAAAATCACAAATGGTATGCTTCGATCTGCATTCAAACTCCATAGTTCTTTCTTTGGATGTGGATAGCATTTTCCATCATGAGGCTTTTGAAGATGTCTTTGATCCTTGTATTGCTGAGAGGGATTAAGTCTATCAAACTCAGTCATCACTCAATGTGGCTATTACTGTGCACAATGTTCTCCTGGTTCTGTTCACTTCACTCAGCATTAGACCATATAGGTCTTTCCAGGTTTATCTGAAGCCTGCCTGTTCATCATTTCTTATAGCACAGTAGTATTCCATTATTCTCATATATCACATTCACAGTTACGATTACTATCTGATTCTTTCTCTCTATCTCCTCTTCCCTCCTCACTAATGTTTTGCTTTTCACCACTGACCAAAGTATTTATAGCACCACTTTTGTGGTAACCAAGAACTGGAAACAAAGTAGATGCCCCATGATTGAGGAATGGCTAAACAAATTTTCTCACATGAACATCATGAACTCGTACTACGCAGTAGAAAAAAAATGTAATTAATAGAGAAACGTAGAAATTATTTACATGATCTAATATAGTGACGATATCAGAGCCAAGAAAACAACACACACAACGAATTTTGTTGTCAATCAGTCATTTCAGTCACATGTGACACTATGAACCCATTTGGGTTTTTCTTAGAAAGATACTGAAGTATTTTGACATTTCCTTCTCCAGCTCACTTTATAGATGAGGAACTGATGCAAAGAAGGTTAAAGTTACTTGCTTTTCCAAAACCCATTCCTTGCTGTCACTTAATCATTGCCATTATCGAGAGTATATTAGATCCTTAAAGTATGAGAATGTTTCATTTCTGTCCTTGCATCCATGAAACCAAACATAGTGCCTGAGACACAGGATGTACTGGTTGGTACATGTTGTGCTGAGCTGAATTCATGAAAAAAGATGCTTCCTACTCATCAGTTTCCTCAGTGCCCCTTTTACTTCATTGTTCCTTAGACTGTAGATCAGGGGGTTCAACATAGGGATCATTACAGTGTAGAAAACAGACACCACTTTATTTTCATCTGTTGAGTAGCTATTTGGCATCATATAAATGAATGTAAGGGTCCCATAGAACAGAGTGACTGCTGTGAGGTGGGAGGTGCAAGTTGAAAGAGCTTTAGATCTCCCCTCAGTGGACCTTACCTTCAGGAGAGAGAAGAGGATGTATACATAAGAGATTAGAATAATTAACACTGTGATCATAAGTACTGACCCAGCAGAGGCAGCAGGGAGAACTTCAGCAAGATCATCTTGGTAGTTGGAAATTTTCAGAAGCGGTGAATAATCACAGAAAAAGTGATTGATCTCATTGGATCCACAGAAGGACCGATTCAGTAAGCAACCAGTAGAGATCCAAGAATTTACACAACCACCTAGATAGGATGTGATGAATAACAGAGTGCAGACCCTGGTAGACATGTGGGTGGAGTAGAGGAGGGGGCTACAGATGGCCACATAGCGATCATAGGCCATCACAGCCAGCAGGAAACACTCAGCTGTCCCAAAGGTGGCAGCAAAACAAAACTGAGCCACACAGCCACCCAGAGGGATTGAGGTCTTGTCCATAAGGAAACTGATGAGCATGAGAGGTGTGACAGAAGAAGAATAACCGATATCCACAAAAGCCAAGTGGCTCAGGAAAAGGTACATTGGAGTGTGAAGCTGGGAGCTATTTCTGATCAATATGATTATGCTAAGGTTACCAAATAAGGTGATAGCATAGACACCCAGAAATATCACAAAGAGGACGACACAAAGGGTTTGGTCATCTGTTAACCCCAAAATAATGAATTCAGTCACAGCAGTGCAGTTATTGCCAGACATCTGTCCTGGAAAGAGTGCCTGTTAGAAGAAAAAGAGAATAAAATAGAATATTAAGATTAGAATAAAGATTAAGATTTGCATATATCTATTGATGTATTCAGGAAACATTAATTGACTACCTCCTATATACCCATTCCACCAACTTTCTGCCTAACTTTGCTCCTATCCACCATGGCAAGGTGTGAATAAGCAAAGCAGTGATAAATAAATTGTTTCCTCCAAATTTTTCCCTGCTAACCAACATTACTTTATGATTTGCCAATTTGACCATTTTGAAAGTATAAAAAAGCCTGTAAAAGTAAAAAGAATAATTTGATTCCCACTATAGGATCCTTTCTTAAAAATATGCAGAAACTATATCCAAATGTATAAATTCTGTTTGCTCAGTAGCCACCATTGTTAATCCCTTCCAAAGAAAAAGATTCTGCTTTGTGATCCCTGACCTCTCAAAGGACTACTGTCCAGAACTGAAGACGTTATTCACTTCATGCTAATTGGCTATGGAGAAAGTCCTGGTTTCCAAGACGATTTTTGTGCTGTAAAATCACAAGGAATGGGTAATCTAGTTTCTAAGTCATCTTATGTTATTTTGATCATAGAATTTATTACTGCAAAGGGCTAACATTAGGTGAGGTATTTTGAGCCTGAAAAAATATGGGAAATGTATCGTGGGAACCTCTGCTCTTTCTCATCTTATCCCCAACCTCAAATCAGAAATCAAACATTTCTATCATTTCTTATTTCTGTTTCTGGCCTCACCACTCTTCTAGACACCCTGGTTTGTAATCCTGGAATTAATCTCTACTCTTTTCTCTATCTTTCCTTACCCAACCAGTCAGTGACAAATCTTGCCACTTCTATATTTACAACATATATCACATCTACTCTTATGTCCACTCACACAGCCATCTCTTTAACTCAGGTTTGAATCGCCTCTCACTTGGACTGCTGTAAAAGATTCTTAATTTAAAGTCCAATCTCTATATCCTCTAAACTACCCTCTAAAAGCCTACAAAAATGATCTTCCTAAAGCACATGGCTGATCATATCACTTGCTTACTCAATCTTTAAACAAATATCTTACTGACTTGAGGGCAAAATAATAATTCTTCAGGGGGCAGCTAGGTGACACAGTGGATAGAGCACCGGCCCTGAAGTCAGGAGTACCTGAGTTCAAATCCGGCCTCAGACCAAACACGACACTTATTAGCTGTGTGACCCTGAGCAAGTCACTTGACCCCAACTGCTTAAAAAAAAATAATAATAATAATAATAATAATTCAGCTTTATATGTATACTCCTATGCCATGTTAATCCAGTCTTGCCTTTCAGATGTATTTCACTTTGCTCTCAGGCATGCCTAGACTCCAGCCCAACTTACCCACTGCCAGTACTCCAGACCCAGAATTCTACCCCCATCTCTGTCCCTCTGCACAGGCCAACCTGTATGCTCCAAATGCCCTCCCTTATCCCTGTTTCATAGAATCTTAAGCTTCCTTTATGTCTTAGCTAATGGGTCACCACTTACAGGAAGCCTAGTTTCTAAAACTCTATCCCTCCATAATTTATTTTGTATTTACTTATCTGTAAATATTTCATCCCTTCCTCTCCAATAGAATGTAAACTCCCTGACATTAAAGACTGTTTTGTATTTTATTCTTTTTATCCCCAGTGGATAGGACAGGACATCCTGTATAGTGAGAACATCAAAATAGTAGTTGAATGGAAGGCAACAATGTACTTTTGAAAACTTCAAGTCTCATTCATGTTGGTATAATAATAAAAATAATCACATAAAAGGAATATTAATAACTCAAATTGACAATTTAAATTTCATAAATTATTTCCCAACACACAATTTTTAGAATATATTGTTCTGCTAATTTTACAGATGAGGTAACTAAGCATCACAGAGGTGCAGTCACGTGGCCACAATCACAGTCAGAACCAGTAAGACTCAGACGTGGGACTCAAACCCAATTCTCCTGGCTTCAAGTCCAATTCCTTTCCATTATAACAACCAACAAATATATCAGTGAAATTCCTCACCCAAAGCCTCAGTTTGAAAAGTGGGAGAAAAGTAATAAATAAAACAATCTATGTATGTATGTACAAAGATTTTTACTCATGTTTTCTTTACTTCATTATGTTTGACCATATTCTTACTGCTTATAGTGATGTTTCACGATATATGATATCACCTATGAGAAACCAGAATTTTATTTACTAACATGCTGTAACAATACTCAATGCATATACCTCACTTCTAAATCTTTAACATTATATGGCCCTATAAGGGACCAGAAACAAGACCAAAATCAGGAATGAATCTTACTCCTTCCGGGGGAGAGAGAGAGAGAAAGAGAAAGAGAAAGAGAGAGACAGAGAGAGATGCATTAAAGCCCTACACAAAACTGAAATCAACATAAAGTTTGACATGTCAAGAAGAATAGATAGGCTTCCCTGAAATGAGCTACAAATCAATAATCAGACCTAAGAATTTTTATACTAAAACCAAGAACCTGCTGATGCAACTAGATGATTATGTTAGGCTCCAGTTATTACCTTTCCATAGCAGAACCATATTCATGTTGGGTTTCACAACATTTGGGAGATAACTCCTTGAGCACCTTAGCACCAAATGTAGCCACCATCATTAAAATGCCTTTTGAAATCCACTGGGATTGAGAAAATTACAAATACACCAATGAGTTACGTGAGAAGTTCTCTAAATTCTCAGGGGGCTTCATTATTTTTTCTTTATCTATGTTTGTACAGGATTTTTAAAAAGTAATAAATAAATAAATAAAACAAGATTAGATAGCACCATAGCCAAATTAGTATGATCTGCCATGGAAGCTCTCAAAAATTGTCTGAGATCAACATGTGGCAATTGTGGTTGTGACATGTTCACTAACTATTAAATTTGGTCCTCATCACATCACCAGATTCATTTTTGTCAGGCCATAACACATGCTGATTATACATATACAAACCGAAGCTGAAAGACCAACCATAAAAGTCAGCTTACTAGAAACCACAGAACCTGGAACAAAGATACTATTCATAGTGAAGACAATTATCCACATGTAAAGGCAGTACTGACAACCTTTTCAAGGCTCCTGATAAACATTTGCTGCAATGTAAGAATACATATAATATATGACACAAAAGTTTTCCATAGGACAATTGATAAATGCTGTGAGTCAGCTGAGGGCCAGGAAATCCCATAAGGCTCTCTGTATCTTATTTGGTTATAAATTCTTCCCTTATCCATATCTGAGAAGGAAACTATTCTATGTCCCACTTAATTTGCTCGTGGTATTAACATTTATGTCTAAATCATGTATCCATTTTGACTTCATTGCACTATATAGTGATTTGGTGTGAGATTTGGTCTACATCTAGTTTCTGCCAAACAGCTTTTCAGTTTTCCCATCCATTTTTGTCAAATAGTGATTTCTTATTCCAAAAGCTAGGAACTTTGGGTTTGTCAAACACTATATAAAAGAAGTACAAAACCCCAAAGCTCTCAAACCTTCTGGGTGGCTGTGTGGCCCAGTTTTGTTGTGCTGCCACTTTTGGGACAGCTGAGTACTTCTTGCTGGCTGTGATGGCCTATGATCGCTATGTGACCATCTGTAGCCCCTTACTCTATTCTACCAGGGTCTACACTCCATTATTCATCACATCCTATCTGGGTGGTTGTGTAAATTCTTGGATCTCTACTGGTTGCTTATTGAATCTGTCCTTATGTGGATCCAATGAGATCAATCACTTTTTCTGTGATTATTCACCACTTCTGAAACTTTCCAACTACCAAGATGATCTTGCTGAAGTTCTCCCTGCTGCCTCTGCTGGGTCAGTACTTACAATCACAGTGTTAATCATCCTAATCTCTTATGTATACATCCTCTTCTCTCTCCTGAAGGTAAGGTCCACTGAGGGGAGATCTAAAGCTCTTTCAACTTGCACCTCCCACCTCACGGCAGTCATTCTGTTCTATGGAACCAGTACATTCATTGATGTGATGCCTAAATCTAGCTACTCAACAGATGACAACAAATTCATGTCTGTTTTCTATACTGTAATGATCCCTATGTTGAACCCCCTGATCTACAGTCTAAGGAACAATGAAGTGAAAGGGGCCCTGAAGAAACTGATGAGTAGGAAGTATCTTTTTTCATGAATTTAACTCAACACAACACGTACCCAATCAGTACATCCTGTGTCTCAGGCACTGTGCTTGGTTTCATGGATGCAAGGACAGAAATGAAACATTCTCATACTTTAAGGATCTAATATACTCTCAAGATAATGGCAATGATTAAGTGACAGCAAGGAATGGGTTTTGGAAAAGCAAGTAACTTTAACCTTCTTTGCATCAGTTCCTCATCTATAAAGTGAGCTGGAGAAGGAAATGTCAAAATACTTCAGTATCTTTCTAAGAAAAACCCAAATGGGTTCATAAAGTGTCACATGTGACTGAAATGACTGATTGACAACAAAATTCGTTGTGTGTGTTGTTTTCTTGGCTCTGCTATGATCATTATATTAAATCATGTAAATAATTTCTATGTTTCTGTATTAATCACATGTTTTTTTACTGCACAGTAAGAGTTCATTATGTTCATATGAGAAAATTTGTTTAGCCATTCCTCAATTATGGGGCATCTACTTTGTTTCCAATTCTTGGTTACCACGAAAGTGGTGTTATACATACTTTGGTCTATGCAGGAAATTTCTTTTTATCACTGACCACCTTTGTGGCATAATATACCTATAAAATGTATTTATTTTTCTTTGTGATAAGTCTTTGTGAGGGGTGAGGTGGGAGAGATGCTAGAAGAAATTTAGGTTATGTTAAAACAAAAAATACCAATAAAGAATCATTAACAAAAATAAAAATCTCTACAATCTTGCTCCTTCCTACCTTTTAATTCTTACACCTTACTTCCATCCATGCAGTGTAAAATGTAGCTGTACTGGACTATTTGCCTTTCCCCAGACATGATACTCCATCTTCTGTGTCTTTTCACTGACTTTCTCACAGAGCGGTTTGCTTGTCCATCTCTGCCAATTAATTTGGGAAAAAATTAATACAAATGTTGAAACTTTTTATCTATAGATGGAAAAATAAAAGATTATATCATTGAATATCCATTTTTTGCCCTTAAAGATTATACTCAGTTTTGCTGGGTAGGTGATTTTTGGTCGTAATCTTAGCTCCAGAATATTTTATTCCAAGCCTTCTGATGCTTTAATGTAGAAGCTGCTAAATCTTGTGTTATCCTGATGGTGGCTTTGTGATATTCAAATTGTTTCTTTCTTCCTGCTTGCAATATTTTCTACTTGGCCTGGGAGCTCTGGAATTTGGTTATAATATTTCTAGCAGTTTTCATTTTGGGATTGGTTCCAGGAGGTGATTGGTGGATTCTTTCAATTTTGATTTTTCCCTCTGGTTCCAGAATTAACAGGGTAGTTTTCCTTGATAATTTCTTCAAAGATACTGTCCGTGTTCTTTTTTTAAAATCATTGCTTTCAGGTAGTCCAATAATTCTTAAATGATCTTTTTTGGATATATTTTTCCAGATTAGTTGCTTTTCCAATGAGATATTTCACATTATCTTCTATTTTTCCATCTTTTGGTTTTGTTTTATTGTTTTTTAATGTCTCATAAAGTCATTAGCTTTTACTTGTTCAATTCTAATTTTTAAGGATTTCTTTTCTTCAGTGAATTTTTAAATTATCTTTTCCCATTTGGCAATTCTGCTTGCATTCCTACATTGAATGATGGTATTTGTAACTCATGAAATCTTTCTCAGTATTATGGTATTTGGAGGGAATATATGTATATACAGGGAGAGAGAGAGAGAGAGAGAGAGAGAGAGAGAGAGAGAGAGAGAGAGAGAGAGAGAGAGAGAGAGAGAGAGAGAGGGCACAGGGTGAGTTGAATATGAAGGGATGATACCTAAAAAATAAAATTAAGAGGTGAGAGAGGATTGTACTGGCAGAAGGAGAGAGGGAGACATAGAATGGGGTAAATTATCTCACATAAAAGAGGAAAGAAAAAACTTTTACAGTGGAGGGGAAGAGCAGGGAGGTGAGAGGGAATTAGTGAATCTTACTCTCATCAGATTTATCTTAAGGAGAGAATAACATACATACTCAAGTAGGTATGGACATCTATCTTACCTCACAGGAAAGTAGGGGGGAAGGGGTTAAGACAGGAGGGACGACAGAAGGGAGGGAAGATTGGAGGAGGGAGTAATCAGAAGCAAACACTTTTGAGTAGGGACAGGGTCAAAGGAGAGAATAGAATAAAAAGGGGGCAAGATAGGATCGAGGGAAATATAGTTAGTATTTCACAACATGACTATTATGGAAGTGTTTTGCTTTACTGTACATAATCTATATCAAATCGCTAGTCTTCTCAGTGAGGATGGGTGAGGAGGGAGGAAGTGAGAGAATTTGGAACTCAAAGTTTTAAAAACAAATGGCAAAAATTGTTTTTACATGCAACTGGGAAATAAGATATACAGGCGATGGGGTATAGAAATCTATCCTGTCCTACAGGAAAATAGAAAGGGAAGGGGATAAGAGAAGGGATGGTGATAGAAAGTAAGGCAGATTAGGGGAAGGGGTATTCAGAATGCACACCATCTGGGAATGGGGGAGAGGAGAGATGGGAAGAAAGGTTGGAACTAAAAATCTTGTGGAAGTGAATGTTGAAAACTAAGAATAAATAAATAAATAAATTTTTTAAAACCATGCAGACTTTTTGAATAAGCAATACTACTACTACATCTGTATCCCAAAGGAGATTAAAAAACCAGAAAGGAAAAGGACCTGTATGTGCAAAAATATTTATAGCAGCTCTTTTCTGGTGGCAAGGAATTGGAAATTGGGGGGATGCTCATCAATTTGGGAATGGCTGAACAAATTGTGGTGTGTGATAATGATGGAATACTATTGTGCTATAAGAAAAACTGAGCAGGATGCTCACATAAAAACCTGGAAAGACTTGCATAAACTGATGCAAAGTGAAATGAACAGAACCAGGAGAACATTGTACACAGTAACAGCAATGTTGTAAGATGTCTGCTGTGAATTACTTAGATATTCTTAGTGCTATGATGCTCCAAGACAACTCTGAAGGAATTATAATGGAGAATGCTATCGTCCCTACAGAAATAATTGATGGAGGCTGAATGCAGATCAAAACATAGTTTCTTTTACTTTCTTTATTTTTCTTGGGGTTTTTTTGGTCTATGCTTTCTTCTATAATATGACTAATATAGAAATATGCTTCACATGATTATGCAATTACAATGTATATCAACTTGCTTGCCTTCTCAATGTGGGGGATGGGAAAAAGGGAGGGAATTTGGAAGTCAAAATTTTTAAAAACCAATGTTGAAAATTGTTTTTACATTTGGGAAATGTAATTTGGGAAAAATAAAATTCTAAATGGAAAAAATAAAATAAAATAACTGTAGTCAATAAAAAAGAAAGAAAGTAACATGCAAGTGAAGCTTAGAGAGATGCAAGATTCTTGGCTCGTTAATAAGGCAGATGAAACACAGGTTTACATTGATAGTAACAATCTAAAGTGCTTTTATGATGCCCTGAAGGCTATTATGGGCCCAAAATCTATGATGAACCTCAACCACTCAGTGCTGATGGAACCACATTGGTTAGTGATAAGAATATGATCCTGGAGAGATGGGCTGAACATTGCCATTTCAACAGACCACCATCAGTCAGTGCTGAAGCCACTGACCATATACCTCATGTTGAAGTCAATACCTCTCTAGTTAAACTTCCAACTGAAGATGAGGTTGAGAATGTCATTAAGCTGGTCTCATGTGGCAAAGTGCCTGGTGCTGATTCTATTCCAGCTGAAATATACAAGGCAGTTGGTCCATAAAAAAGCTGCTCATACAAAAGCTGATAGAAATTTTCTGGGTCATATGGCAAGAGGAGATTTTCTCCCAGGTGTTCAAGGATGCCTCCATTGTCCATCTCTATAAATGAAAATGATATGTCCTATGACAATCACAGGGAGTTGGGGGGAGGTGCATCTCTCTCAGTCATTGTTGGCAAGATTCTTGTCAGAGTCTTATTCATTAGACTGACTCTTCACCTGGAAGATGGTCATCTACCCAAAAGTCAGTGTGGCTTCAGAAAGGGCCAAGGAACAGTCAATATGGTATTTGCTACTCAACAACCCCAGAAGAAATGTGAGGAGCAGAACAGCAGCCTGTACACAATGTCTGTTAATCTAATGAAGGCCTTTGATACTATCAGGCATGACAGCTTGTGAAAAATTATGGCAAAATTTAGCTGCCCAGAGAATTTCATCAATATTGTCAATTTCATGACAGCACGCTTGCACAGGTTCTGAATAACGGACAATGCTCTTGCACTTCCCCAGTCATCAGTGGAGTGACACAGGGTTCTGCGCTTGTTCCCATGCTTTTTAGCAAGATGTTTTCAGTGATGTTGTCAGAGGCCTTCAAAAAGGATAAAAACAGTCTCCAAGTCAGCTACTACATTGATGGTAAATTATTTAATGTGAAAAGGCTTGCAAGCCAAGACTAAAGTAGAGGGAGAGTTGGTGCATGACTTTTTGGTCACAGAAGAATGTGCACTCAATGCAGCTTCTGAAGCCAAGATGCGACAAAGTATAGATCGATTCTGTGTTGCTTATGTTAATTTTGGCCCAACGATTAAACACCAAGAAAACAAAGGTTCTCCATCAACCAGAACTACACCATCAATGTGTGGAACAGTTACAGCAAATGGAGAAATTTTGAATGTTGTGGTGAAGTTTACTTACCTTGGCAGCATACTTTTCAGGGCTATATACATAGAGGATGAGGTTGATGCATTCATTGCCAGAGCTAGCATAATGTTTGGGAGACTCCAGAGGAAAGTGTGGGGAAGAAGAAGTATTAGACTACCTACCAAACTGAAGGTCAGCAGAGCTGGCATGATGATGTCATAGTTGTATGCTTGTGAAACCCTGACAGTAATACCAGTGCCAAGACAGGAAATGTAATAATTTCCATTTGAATTGTCTTAGGAAAATTCCGATGATCTCCTGGCAAGATAAGGTACTGGGCACTGAAGTCCTTTCTTGAGCTGAACTGCCAAGCATCCAAATTCTACTGCAGAAAGTGCCAC